TGGGCTGCAGTGAAAAGCATTTGAACTTCTTCAATTTACACACATATACACCTATAAATTCTCAAGTCTGAAAAGTATTCAATGAGAAATATCAATGTAAATTTCAAGCATTTAAAAGGCTTATAATGGGGGTGGAAAATAAAAGTGAAAGATACAGACTGACAGGATACCATATCAATTTGTTTAAAACTAGAATGGGAAGTTTAAGTGATTATATTAGCATAATAACATAAATAATCTTACTCACTTAGATTGCATATTAAACTTTCAAATAGTTTTTGTGCATATCTGTTTATTTATTTATTTTAGAGAGAAAGTCTCACTCTGTTGCCCAGACTAGAGTGTAGTAGCTATTCACAGGCACGATAATAGCCATCAGCAGTCTTGAAATCCTGGCCTCAAGTGACCCTCCTGCATCAGCCTCAGTTGTTTTGTATTTTATATACTGTGTAGTATAAGTTCTATTTTCTAGCTCCTTTTTATGATAAGAGTCAAGAAAAAAAAGAAAAGACAAAATATTTCTTTTTTCTTTATGGTTAAAACACTATAAAAGCCTATTCTATATTATGATAAATTAATAGCTTGAAAGATAAAGCACATAAAATCCTTTAGCTGAAGACTTTTGTGTATATGTGTGTGTACAAATAGAAACAAAATCAGAGTAACTATAAGAAGTTCTCTGGAGAAGGATAACCAATTTGCCCCAGTTTTTATTCTATAATCCCTCACAACAACAAAAATAGAAATACCTGTCTAAAGGTCTCCTAATGTGGAAACTTGATAGTGCTATATTTATGTTGTCATGCTATACAATCCATTCCTACTTTGTAGACTATTTCTTTGCATTTTCTCTTTCTGAACGCCATTCTGTTTCTGTGGTATGAAAGGAACCCATTTACCATGAATTATGTTTATTTAAAATAAAAACTTTCTAGAGAATCATCCAGATAATCTAAGGATACAAAGTGAACCTAAAAGGAATGGCTTCTACTTTGAAAACAGGGCTGGGTTTGATCAGTGAATTCGTATTCTCAAGACCCTCTTGATGGGTCTGCAGCTGCAGCCATTTATGTGCTGGCTTTTTCACAGATGTAGACAGAGAAAGCTCCATGGTTTTTGTCTTTTTGTTGTTGAATTTGTTTTCTTTAATATAAAAAAGTGGCAACTTTTTTAAAAAAGTTCTCAGTTTTGTTGTAGAAACTTGTGAATACTGAACATCCTTGGGAGTATATATTGTTGAAATGACTATGACTTTTTAAAATCTAAGATCACAAAGTTGGCAGAAACTATACTTAAATAACAGAAGGTGATCATTTGCATTTCAAAATTTATGTCTTGCTTTTCCCCTCAATTAGACCAAAACACGTTGATTCACAGGTTTCTGTGTGTGTGTATTTTCTTTTTTAAACTTATTTATAGAGCAGAATAATGGCCCCCCTGCTAGTTTGGCATTTGCTCAAGTTTCTGTCCATGCAAATCGAATCTGTTACTGGAAATTTTTCTCAAAATATAAAGGCACATCATCCACAAGATAAAAAGATACATGGCTGACATTATAAAGTACAGGGCAGGTGGATAATGTTTTTAGGACAAATATGTGATAAGGATTCCCAGGAGGGTGGAGTAGCAGGGACAGGGATTGCATGATGTTTAAACAGAACTGAATCGTTCTCATCATAATCTTGTAACAACTTTACTTTCTAACCAAATATTAGCTGCTTAATATGCTTCAGAGTTACTTGGACAAAACACTAAGGGTTAGAGTTGGGAACTGGGAGGGGAGGCAGCATGTGGGAGGGGAATTACTTCAACCCTTAGTGTCTCTAAAGGTAGATCAAAAAGTGGCTAAGTCCTCCACATCCCCCTGTATTTATTGACTTGTGATTTTTAAACATTGAAATATTAATACATTATCATTGCTCTCACCCTTGAGAAGAAAGTAGAGCCCACTTGTAGCTTCGATTTAGCACTGCTATTGAGTTTTGAGGCAAACAGTAACTTACAAACTTTGTTCCGATTCCCCTTATGTTATAAGTGAGGGACAGGAGCACACAGACTTAATCAAGTTCTATAACTCTCTAGGTTTAAGAGCATCCAAATTAGAACATTAACATTGCTTTTCTGTTAAGGCCATTACTGATTTTGTTTTACCTTGTTACTAAAATTAATAGGCCCAAGGAATAGAGAGACTTTCCACATTGTTCAAAGCATGCCACAACACGAACACTTGTGCAACTCAAAAAGCTTGAAAGTACAATTCTTTTATGCAAATAATTACAACAAAGCATCTCTTCAGACTATAGTTTTTTTCAAATGATAGTGAAGGACAACCTGAAAGAGGACAGCAAAAATCCATTAATGGTACACTGCCACCTGCTGGTCAGCTAAAAGAACTGTAATTTCTGGGAAAAGGTTTGAAAATCAAAATTTAGAAACTGATCTGTATTAAATCCAGTATTTTAGAATACAAAATTGAGACCATGTCGCTGCTGATTAATGCACCATGATTTTCTTCCACACATATGAATATTAAAGTAAGCACGACTGTGCTTGAAGATTAAAAAAAATAATCTGCTAGAGCAATGCCAAAGTGTACAACTTACAGATAGTTTTGATAAGAAAGTAAAAATAGAAACAGGAAATAAAGAGCTGGTTATAGGCCAGGCACGGTGGCTTACGCCTGTAATCCCAGCACTTTGGAAGACCAAGGTAAGAGAACTGCCTGAGCCCAGGGGTTTGAGACCAGTCTGGACAACTTGATGAGATCTCGTCTCTACAATAAATAAAAAAATTAGCTGGGTGTGGTGGTATGCACCTGTAGTTCTAGCTACTTGGAAGAATAAGACAGAAGGATCGCCTGAACCCAGGAGGTTGAGGCTACAGTGGCCATGAGCATGCCACTGTACTCCAGCCTGGGTGACAGAGTGAGATTTCAACTCAAAAAAAAGAGCTCAGTCGGGCTCGGTGGCTCAGCCTATAATCCCGCACCTTTGGGGAGGCTGAGGTGAGTGGATTGCCTGAGCCCGCGGGTTCAAGACCCGCCTGGGCAGCAAGACCTCATCTCTACAATAAATCAAAAAATCAGCCGGGTGTGGTAGCGCACCTGTAATTCCAGCTACTCGGAAGGCTGAGGCGCAAGGATCGCCGGAGCCTAGCAGGTCGAGGCTGCGGTGGCCAGAAGCGGCCACTGCACTCCAGTCTGGGCGACAGAGTGAGACTCCAACTCAAAAAAAAAAAAAAAAAAAGAAGAGCTGGTAATAAACATTAAACAATGCCCCATAAATATTTGATTCTGTTGTGTGGTTTACACTGCACTTCACTTTAGAATATAACGGGCTTCACTCCAAAGAACTCCCAAATTTAGTTTTGATCCTAAAGTCTCCAAATTAATTATAATTAACAAATTATTTATATACATTAGTACCTAAAATGTTATTTCTAATCAAATTATTTCTAATCAAAATGTCACTCTTATCAAAGTGGGGAGGATTTGTTAAAAAAATCAGATAACTATATAACTAAACCTCACTAATATGATTTCAAAACACAGCATCACATTATCTATTAGAGAAAAACAAAAATGTAGGTGTGCTCTATGTCTCTAAGAAGAAACAAAAATCAAACAGTCCTAATTTGAGGGAAGGAGGAAGAAAGAAAAGAAAACCCTAACAGTTGTCTTCAGGAAAGTTTTAGGATATTGGTTTATAGGTTAAAATTTTGTTATTCTCCAATTATTTCTATAGAAATAATTCTTAAGGTTGTAACTAAAAACAATATAGCTCTTCCAAGCCTAATTATCATTATTTCCCATTATGCAGAGAAACATGGTTAGCATCACTACACTGGTTAACTAGTAAGTATTAAATACTGTATTGATCAACAACTAAGCAGATAATATCAACAATTGGCTTGAAACTCTTTTGAAGGCCAGTGGGGTGATGGGTGGAATGAATCCACCATCTAAAGAGGATAAGGAGGCTAAGTGCCAAGCAAAAAGTGAACAAACTTGGATTCAAACACAGCCCATATGAACTGAAGACAGAAAGAAACCAATTCATATGCTTATGCTACCTATAACTGTCAGCAAATAATACTCCCAGAAATAAATATCTAATTTTTAAAGAATAAAGACAATACAGTAGGACAAGATAAAACTATTGTGTCAAATATTTAGCCAAGTAGGCAGATATTTTAAAACAAGAACAATATACTTTCTACTTTCTCAAATATAGAAAGAATTATTTTAAAATTTGTTCTAAAATGTCAGCTTGGCTCATCACTAAAATATCACCGCATTTTTTAAAACTCCATGGTTTACCAGACACAGTGACTCTTGCCTGTAATCCTAGCTATTCAGGAGGCTGAGGTGGGAGGATCACTTGAGGCCAAAAGTTCAAGACCAGCCGGGGCAACGTAGTGAAACCTTGTCTCTAAAAAAATAAAAATAAATAAGCCAGGTGTGGTGGTGCAAGCCTATAGTCCCAATTATTCAGGAGGCTGGGGTGGGAGGATGGTTTGAGCCTAGGAGAAGCTCCAGGTTACAGTGAGCTATGATGGCATCACTGCACTCTGGCCTGGGTGACATTATCTCTTTAAAAAAAAACAAAAACTGGATTTTTTCCCCCATGTTTAGCCTTAGGAATTTTACCCTTTAGTCAGCTACTTCCTACACCTTAATAAAAATCATTCATCTACAGTGGGTGGGGGGCATTTAAAGGTACGTGTAAACACTAAGAAGTTAAGACATTTCCAAGAATTCACTGCCAGTTCTTAGTGAAGTATAAATTCACTTAACAACAGTAAATATATATACACACACATATACATATGCGTAGATACCTAAGAATTTACTTGTTTTAGCCTCCAATTTCCTTTTTGAAGGGATAAACAGATAACCAAATCCAACACATATGTAAACTAGTGAAAAATACAACTTCTACAAAGAAATGAGAGCTGCCGAACCACTTTTCAAGTGAAACATTTTAGGAGATTGCTCTAACCTGGGGCACAGTACATTCTCTCTATGGCATCGCTGTCACAGGAATCTTCAACCTCACTCCACCTGCTAAAATACGTTAGCTGAATGTGTCCTAAAAACAAAACGACAGGAGAAATCAAAACATTTTTCTCTTCCATTTTCTGCAGAAGTGAACTGTAATTACTCCTTTTGTAGCTAAAAACAGTATCATTAAGAATAATGGCATCATTAAGTACTAGAAGCTATTACTGGGGGTGAATTTGCTGCACTGATAATGAAGCTCTAGACAGGAAATGAAGATACTAATTACAAGATAAAACGCCTACTCAGTTAATTGGAAGCAACAGCGAATAAAAAGAAATGCATTTGCAAAAGTTCCTGACCTCTATCATTCAATAAGATGTTGTTTGGGTTCAAATCGCGGCACACAATTCCCTCTCTATGTAAAGCATCGAGGGCTACCACCATTTCAGCTGCCCATCTTTGAATGCAGTCCTCTGGGATGTAAAACCTGGAGTTTAGTGCTAATTTTTTATCAAGGTCCTCAAAAATCTGATGTATTTCCTTGTCTCCTTCTAGTGCTAACCCACTTTCTCCCTTAGTCTCAGAGTCTCTCTGGAAAAAAGAAGTTGGTTCCTCTTTAGCCAAATCAGCAGCTTGATCTGTAAATAGAAACACTTCTTCTGTTTTTAAGGTGTCTGTATTTGCAATATATTCATTAGCACCTGAGAGAGGCTTAGAAATATGGAATACGCTTTCTCCTGTGTTGTTTGCAGTTACAGCTGACTCAACTACTCCAAGCTCTTGTAACTTAGGATCTGAGCTGTGTAACAACATGTCTCCTGAACTACTATGATCAACAGCTGCTACAAATAACATCCCAAGATCCTCCTGTGCATAGTGTTTCTCTGTCAGACTATGGGATTTCGGCCTAGAGGAATCACTCAGTTCCTCTGTGCTTTTCTCTTCCTGTGCTAGGCATTGTTCAGTACTAAGCCTGAGACATAAGACATCCGGAGCTTCCAAAAGTTTACTTTCTATTATGCCTATATTAGTCTGTGTAAACTTAGTAGGTCCCATTGCTGCAACTTCTTTTGTTGGCTCCAGTTCACCAGGTAGATTTACAAGAAGATCAGGTCTTCCTTCATCAGTACCACTGACATCATCAAAAGCAGCATCTTTAAATGAAATAACTGGTACTGAGTCATCTGAGCCCCTGCTAATGGTGTCCTGAATTTTAAATTCTATCTTGTTTTCACTAGTATTAAAACTCCTGGAAGTGCCATTTCCATCTGAAAGGGTACAGAATGGTTTCAAAGGTTCTGATTTTAGGCTATACAATTTTTCTCCAAAATCAAGTCCCAGGAGTTCACTTGTGCTATCCTTACTGTCTATCCTAAAGAATTCCATGGGGCTGTTTTTCGATCTGCTGAGGGAATCTGATGTTCTTGGAGAACTAACTGCTTCTGGGTCATCATCCAGGAAGAACTTCAGCTCATGAGCTCTCAGCTGAGTGCTGGGACTGTCACTGTCAGTAACAAGGTGTGCCGGGAAGCTTTTAATAGCTTTGGAATCAACACCATTTCCTTCAGTCTTCATGAAGGGCTCTTCATTCAAAGACCCTGGTTCAATCTTTTCTTGCCCATATTCATTGCATAATGTTAAATAACTAGTAGTGCATTCTTCTTCTGAACTTGAACCAGTATCTGGCCATTTTGGAGAGCTATCCTGGCCATCATCTTCCTGGTTGCTATCATCTTGAGAACTTGGAGTAAGACTAGTCTTCAAAGGTAGAACTGTAAGCATGCTTCCACCATCACTTCCTCTGGATTCAAAGCTGCTACTGTCCTGTGGACTAGAAGTTGGCTGTTCAAGGTGTACTTTGGTAAGTGAAGATTTTTTTATTTCCTTGATGTCAATGCTTTCTTCAGGACTTCTGTTTAGAAATTTACTGATATGTGACCAGAGTTTGCCACCTGTAGACAAGTATGACAAAAAAAAAAATTTAGGATCCCTAAATTAATGGCTAGTTGCTTATTTGGGCCATTAGAACAAAAAAGTATTCTAATAATCAATCAAAAACAAATCAATGATATCCATTAATATCAAGTATGCTGTAAGATAACTAATAAAATGTTCTTTTGTTATTGTACTGGTAAGTATTGCTTCATATCTCCTAAGCATATCTCCTAATATTGATTATTTTTTAAATGACACCTATTTCTTCCTTTGAAGGAAAATTAGTTATAACAAGTATTAGTATAAAATTTCACAGCTAAAATTCTATTTTAAAGTTAAATATTTCATCTTAGAAACACCTCATTATGTTCTGATCTGTTTATAAAATAATTTTTCAAGCATGGCCCCTTGGTCAAGTGGAAATATATAAATAAGTGCTGTTTAAAACTGTATACTACAGTGAGGGGAAAAATCAACAAAGTTATTCCATTTTGAAAATGCCCAGTCCAGCACTGGAAAGGAAATTTGACATCTGGTATATAATGATGCCTTTATAAATGACATATTAATATTTCCCCCATGTAATGTGTTATATAAGATCATGTAAAGCCATTGAAGAAAAGTCATTGAGCAGCCATTAATGAGGCAAGCTACTGAAAATATGATTCTATATTCTGACATATATCTAAAAAAACTAACCTAACATTGAAACTAAACTACAATCATAAAAAACAATAAAACTAAACTACAATCTAAAAAACCACTTTCACAGAAATAGGATTTTAAAAAATATGAAATAATCCTACTGTTTTACCAATAATCCTTCTTATATAGTTATTATTTCACCATATTTTTTTGTTTTATTTTAACTATTAAACACCTCAACTCTTTTGCTAATTAGAATCTTAACATTAAAAAACTACGGTTAAGCTAGGCGTGGTGGCTCAAGTCTGTAATCCCAGCACTTTGGGAGGCTGAGGTGAGAGGAATGCCTGAGCTCAGGGGTTCGAGACCAGCCTGGACAACTTGAGACCTCTTCTTTACAATAAATCAAAAGATAAGCTGGGCATGGTAGCACACGCCTGTAGTTCCAGTTACTTGGAAGGTTGAGGTGGAAGGATCACCTGAGCATAGCAAGTCGAGGCTGCAGTGGCCGTGAGCATGCCACTGCACTCCAGCCTGGGCGACAGAGTAAGACTCCAACTCAAAAAAAAACTATAGTTAAATATCAAAAACCCACCACAGTTATACTGGTGAGAAACAGTATTACAAGAAAGAATAACTGATTAAATTTGATCCAGAAATTCCAAAACCAGTAACTATGGAAGCATACTTTGTGACTATATAACTATAATTCCAAAAATGGAAAATTAAGAACGTGTTAAAAATAAATCCCTCTACTCACACAAAGAAGGTAAAATTTTAGCATAACTAATGTAATTATTAAGCATCATACACAAAGGGTACTAATCTTAAGAAACATAATCACTGATAGTCAACTGTATATGGCAAAACGTCAACAGAAGCACCTCCCAAAAACTTTCCATTTCACATTTCATTTCATTTTGCGGGACTCAATAAACATATAAAGTACCTAACACTGTGACTAGTATAGAATAAATTCTCAAGAAAGGGTAACTGTCAAAATATTAATCCTAGGATTCTCATACATCTCTTTCTAGCAATGATCTAGTTAGTAGTTTCCCCATTTTGATAACAGTTAATAGTATGGGATGACACAGTGTTTAATTTTCCCCCCTCAGTTTTTCTTAGTTAATGTTTTCTGTCCTTTCTAGGTATACTCAGTGCTTCTCAATTCCCCATATTCAAACTAAAGTTAAAGATTTATACTGCATATGGCTCTGAAAATCACACACTCACCAAGAGAGTTATGCGTTGAGCTCATATTCCTTAGTCTTCTGACAATAACCACCACATTCCTCTTATCACAAATACCTATATTGTGGCAGTTTAACAATAACGCCTGAACTTGAAGGTGAGATTTTTATATGCAATTCAAATAAAACGACTTGTGTGGAATATGATGACTACTTTGAGAAAAGGAGCAAATCTTTTTCATCCTTGTATGTCTACAGTCTAGGCAATGTACAAGAAATGACAGGCATTCAGTCAATGCTTGTTGATTTAAATTAGATGAGATGTGCCATCACAAAGTAAACAGTATCTGCATCTGTAAAGTTCCACTGATCAGCAAGAAACTATACCTAATAAACTTCTAAGAAAAGTTTCATTCATTCTTAGGCCAATTTCACCTGACTGAGCTACTGAAATCCAAAATTCAATGTGTTTACATTCTTTTTGTCCCCAAAGGCATTTCCTCTTTCTGACTTGTGAGTCACTCTGGCACAAAAACTCTTGATCAAACTTGGAGTATTTGCCTTCCCTTGTTCTTCCTCCATTTGTCAAATTTCCAAGTCCTATAGGATCTACTTAAATGTTTCTCCCAGTTGTCCTCTTCTTTTAATTCCTTTGACCACCATGTGCTTCCTGGGATGATGCTATATGTACTAGATCCTTACTTTAAATCTCCCCTGTATCACTCTATCATTCTAATTGCTACCCAATTAAATCTTCCATGTTAGCTGTATCTTATGTCATTTCTTCATTCAAGAACTTAAATCTCCTCCACCTACTGAATCATGTACTAACTCCATATAGGCATTTGAAATCCTCATTCATAAACCCATGATTTGGTCCTCTTCCTATACTCACCACATAATTCATCTGAACTGGATTTTCCCACAGAAAGCCCATGCTGAGTTTTTCTTCATATTACATTTACACTTAAAATTTTTTTCCTCTTAGCTTCTCCAGTATCTGCTTGTCAAAATCCAACCCATTCTTGAAGGTCTTTCAGAATCTGTCTCAATTTAACCAATTTTTTGGTATCCCTTCACTGGATACAATTCATATTTTCTCTCAATCCTCTATGTTACTTCATCCCACTATGACATTTACAGCATTCTATTTCAGATTAATTTTACTTTTATGCTTTCATTATCTCCTTTACCAGACTGCAAGGTCTTAATAACTGTTGATAGAGGATTCTATCTAGCATCTAAAATAGGTATTAAATAAATATTTATTAATCTGAGTTATACAGAAAAAGCTAATATCTTTACAAAATTTTTTAAAAACCTTTTAAGGAAAAGGTTCTATAAGTACTAACAATATCATTTGGAGGGGGTCCTACACTCTCCCTATTCTAAAATTAATATGTGATCTTATTGTAAAATTTCCAGAAAATACAGAAAAGAACAAGACAAATAGCAAAAATTTAGAATATATGAATCACCCATAATCATATCACCTAATGATAAACACTGTTAAACTTTTTCTACACTTATTTCCAGGCTTTTTATTCACAATTAACATGATATCATAAAGATTTTTAAATTTCCATAGAATACAAGCCTGGAGGGCTATATAGCATATCTATAGGATATTATGACATATTTAAATATTCCTCTATTGTTGATTGTTTAGGTTGCTTCTAGTCTTTTACATACAAATACTTGGCATTTCTGATTATTTCAAGACAGAATCCCAGAAATAAAAATACTGGATCAAAAAGCATGGATATTTTTAATGCTTCTGATACATGTTGTTAAACTGTTTACCAGAATCCATTCCTATAAGCAATGCATAACAGTGCCATCTTCACAGTAATTTGCCTATATTAGATATTAGCAAGTTTACCAATTTGACTAATCAAATATGGCATCTTACTTAATTTCCATTGTTTTCATTATTAAGTAGAATTTTTAGATGTGATTGGACATTTTCTTTATGGAATCTGCTCCCAGCCTAAACAAGTATCCTAACATGAATTATAAAAGCCACATTTTCAAGGAGTAAAAAAACTGAGCTCTTCCCCACTCTCTTCTGGATGCCCAGTTAAATTTAAGGCTAAATATAGAGCTATAAAAACAAAATTTTGGCCCTATCACATACTTCTTTCAATTAAAAAACCATAAAAATCACATAACCTACACGAACCCACTGAAGTTTCCCACTTACAAAAGCTAGGGGGAATGTTACTTTCTGTAGCATTAAGATGAGGCCTAACAGACAAACTTACACAAATGTTAATATTATGGCAATAATAACATTAATTTAAATAAAATCTGTCATTCCTGAATCGCAACATATAAATAGAAAATACCAACAATATTTATAATTTTTAACACTGTAAGAATATAAATGATATTTTTCTAAGCCCTTTTGAAGCATTGCAGATATTTGACCATTTTAAGCTATGAAAATAATTCATAATGTTTAATTAAAACTCTTTGTCTCTGGTCAGATTTTAATCTATTATTTTCTATAAGATTGTAAAGTGGCTCAGCCTGTATCTTGTGCTTTGGAAGGCTGAGATGACTGGATTGCCTGAGCCCGCGGGTTCGAGACCCGCCTGGGCAACTTGGCGAGACCTCATCTCTACAATAAATCAAAAAATTAGCCAGGCGTGGTAGTGCGTGGCTGTAGTTCCAGCTAC